AAGTCTGGTTCATGACACAATTACTTTCTTGGTTTCCATTTCTCTGGAGCCATTCATGCCTTCCTGTTCCTATGTGAACAAGTAGATATTATATAGGCTTTTGGTTCCATGAACCTGTTGTGTACTTGTGCTGGATTCCTTTGGACTTTGTTTCCATTGTTGCAATGTAGAGATATGAGAATTAATGTTCCTTTTGTGAGTCACGGCATCTTTTATTATATTTTCCTTTTCTTGTCTTGATTGTGATTCTGTCTTCCTCACGCAAGTCTTACTCCAGACATATGATAGATTTGGGATGTAAGAAAATAAGGTCTTAAATTTGGGACAGTGAGAATTTGCTGGGCCATGGTTAAAGAAAAAGATATGATACTGCTTGTGTGTGCAATATGACTCAATGCGACCCTACAATAATGTATTTGGTTTTAAATGCTTATTTATGTTTTATTTTATAGATGGTTTATGTGTTATTGCTTTTAATATGTTGTAAAGATTTATTATCATCATCATTATTATCATTATTTATGTGTGCAATTACTAGCAAAAGGCAGTCATTTGAGAGATACAATGGAACATAAGTACATTTATTAAAAGACAGTAATGCTAAGTTTGTCCATCTGCTTCAAAGACAGTAACATATTACCTGAAGCAACTAATGCCTTAATTTCATGGCATTTATTTAATCTGGAAGAGCTAATCCTAAACACAGATGGGAGGCTGATCAGAAAAGTAGCAATATGATAAACAAATTCTAGCATTATTATTAGAAGTGCCTTACAATAGTTTCCTGATCACGCTACAACAGTGACATTATTTCAACTACAACAATGACATTATTTCAGCTTCTACAATGTTTCAAGTTATAGACTAGAAAGATAATAATTTCTGATGTAAAACGTGACAAAACCAACTCGCTAACCCTCCTTCCCAAGTTTCAATCTACCATAACATAAACCCTAGAAATGGGGATTTTCAGGGTTGCCATCTGGTTGTCCTTGGTCAGTCTAGTCTGTCTCTCTGTCTTGGTTATGAAGATTCATTTTTCTAAATGGACAGCTTTAAATACGCTTACATTTTAATCTGTTAACATGTATGCATTAGTTATGACAAGGTTCTTCCTAAAATCATATCTGCATACATCTGTGTCAAGCATTCTAACGCTATTATTTAATATTGGGATTGGGAAAATCTTATTGTGCTAGCCAACAATTTTGTTGTGGCTGTTGGTTCATAATCCCTTTGTTGTGGTATTTGCTGGCTTATAGCCCAAGACAACTGGCTATTTTTTTTAACTGATGGGAGGTCATGACCAAAGCATGCCCCTTGATATCCCCATTGATCAAGAGTATCTAGCAGAGCACTGTATTGTGTTGCTTTTTATGCAGGATGATGATAACAACAACTACTAAAGCAATTATCAATATAACTTTCATGGAGGCAATAATAAAAGAAGACATTAATTTTTACAAAAAATGTAAATCACAAAACTAATATGTAAAATGCTATTTAAAAATGCATAGATAGTTTTACACTAGGACACTTATGAGGCCCCTCCCACACTGCTGTATAAAATCCCACATTATCTGCTTTGAATGGGGTTATATGGCAGTGTGGACTCAGATAACCCAGTTCAAAGGCAGTGACATCTCTGGCCCATCCACTGTTCGGATATCAGCTAGCACGCCAATGTCCTAAATCAAGAAATAGTTTTCTAAGATCTACAGAGATACTTGCAGGAAAGCCTCAGCAAGTGAGAGTCCAAAAGTGGCAGGCTGAAACCCGAAACTCAATCAGTGGCTGATACCAAATGAGAGACTCCCATTACTTAGGGAGCTGCAGTATGTATAACAATATTATGATCTACAGTGGGTCCTTGGTATATCCACTAGGATTTGGTTTTAGGAAAAAAAAACCCTCCCTCTATACTAAATTCATGGATACCCAATCTTATTATATACAAAGGCATAGTAATGCATGTGTATGTGATATATATGGTGAAAGCAAGCCTTGCTTTTGGAGAATATTCCCAGATTCATGGTTGCACAGCGCATGAATATATTAATATTTTAAAAACTAGATGTTTACTTTTCATGTAGCAACTCTGACCTGAATTGTCCCTCTCCAGGTGGCTTTTTGAAAAAGGTGAAAGACTATATAATATCTAGTGTGGGATTCAACATCCCGAGTGGCCCAAGATACATATATGCATAGGGATGCTAAGGCAAAATCCCAAATGCCAAAAAGCAATGAGTGATTTCTAGGCAATTGTCTAGGTGCATTGGAAAAAAATAATAAAGATGAAATAATAGGATTTAAGGAACGGAAAGCGAAATATAAGTGACACGTACAAGTAGATCACAATAAAAGTGGCCAAAGTTCACCAGCAATTCTCTCTGGAGAAATCATGAGCACATAAGCGATAATGTGATGTGGTGCTCTTCAGGAGAAAACTACGCTGACGAAGCTAGAAACCGCCAGAAGCAGAAATGGATTTCTCAAGTTGGTTTCCTGGTAGGATATGCAAGGCACAAGGAGCTATGCCAGAGGGGAAAGGGAAATGTTGTATGCAGAGTGGCCTGTAAAGCCCCTTACACAGCCACTCTGACAGCTAGTATAGCAGGCATGGGCAAACTTGGGTCCTCCAGGGTGTTTTGGACTTCAACTCCCACAATTCCTAACAGCCTCAGCCCCCCTTCCTTTTTCCTTTCCTTTTCTGCTTAAGTGTCTGAGGGGGAAAAGGAAAGGGCCTGAGGCTGTTAGGAATTGTGGGAGTTGAAGTCCAAAACACCTGGAAGGCCCAAGTTGGCCCATGCCTGCAGTATAGTATTATATAGCAGTTTGAGTGTTGTGCTAAGACTCTGGAGACCAGGGTTTTTAATCTCCACTTTTGAAATCCACTGTGTGACCTTGGGCAAGTCGCACTGTCTCAGCCACAGAAAACCATAGGTGCATTTACACTGTKGGAATGAATGCAGTTTGGCACCACTTTAATTGTCATGGCTCAATGCTATAGATTTCTGCAAATTGGAGTATCAAGGCCTTTAGCCTTCTCTGGCAAAGTGCACATGTCTCACTAAACTATACCTCCCCGGATTCCCTATCACTGAGCCACAGCAGCTAAAAATGGTACTGAACTACATTCATTTCACAGTGTAGATGAGGCCTGGGCAAACGTGGATCCTCTAGGAGTTTTGGATTTCAACTCCCACAATTCCTAACAGCCTCAGCAGCTGAGGGGAAAAAAAGAAGGGACCTGAGGCTGTTAGGAATAGTCAGACTTGAAATCCAAAACATCTGGAGGGCCCAAGTTTGCCAGTGGCTGGTGTAGAAGAGACCCCACATGAAAGATTCACATTAGGGTTGCCATAAGTTGGAAATGACACATCACATTTTGCTAGATGCCAGGATTCCAGTCCACGCAGGGAATTAACCCAAAATTATTTGCTCCCTGAGCCCCCCTGGCTCAGCCCCAGAGTCAAGCTTACCTGTCCAAACAGATCTCTTCCTATGAACCATCTCGGAGCTTAAGATCGTCCGAGAAGGCCCTGCTCTTCGCCCTGTCTCCTTCGCAGATGTGATTGGAGGGGATGAGAGACAGTGTTTCTCAGTGTTTGTGCAATAAATAAAATGGAATTATGTGCAGTGACTATTAGAATGGCCCAGGCTATGACTTTGGATAACGTGGTTAACAGGGAAGGCATTGTTTTATATGTTTAAATGTAGTTTATAATTCTATTTGCATGTTTGTTTTGGAAGGCATCAAATAGTTGCCTAAGTGTAAGCCACCTTGAGCCCCCTCCTCCAGGATGGAGAAAGGTAGGGTAAAAATGTTGCAAATAAATAAATAAGGTGCATAGCACACACATTTAGCCAAGGTTGACACAAGTGCACTGTAGAATGAATGCAGCTTGCAGGGAGGCAAATTTAACTAATTTACGAGGCCATAAAAATTTYCAGCAAGCATGCAAAGAATGAGGAAGTACTTCATCAGTGTCACAAATGGTTGGTRAAGCGACAGCTCCCCTGGTGGCCAGAATACCCTCAAGAAAAGCTGGAATGTTAAATTGCCTCTGTGTCTGTCTATATATGTTGTGTRTCTATAGCATTGAATGTTTGCCATGTATATGGACATTGTAATCTGCCCTGAGTCCCCTGCGGGGTGAGAAGGGCGGAATATAAATACTGTAAATAAATATATCCTGAGAGTTGTAGTTTCACAGACTTTAGCCTTCTCCACCAAAGAGGGCTTGTGCCTCACCAAACTACCACTCCCATGACTCCATAGCATTGAGACAAGGCATTTCAAGGGCCTCATCACAGTAGAGAGAGAGAAAAAAAACACTTCAAATCCAGTTGCTGCCTCCTGCAGAATTCTGGGGTTTGTAGTTTAGGGAGGTGCTTTTAACAGCTGCACTAAACTACAAACCCCAGAATTCTGCAGGAAGCAGAAACCGGATTTAAAGTGGATTTTCTTCTCTAGTGTGATGAAGATAAAGGTGGGGTCAAACCGCAGTATAGATGCACCCAAGAACTATAATCACAATGCGTTTCATGACACCCCAAATTAGCTGCGTCAATAAATGCTAAAGCTAGGGGAGGGGGATGACGTAGTGATCTCATTCTCTCACACCACCCCCCTTTTAAAAAGGGCACTGATTTCTGAGATCCCCCTTCTGTGCTTCCCGTTACTTCCCCGCAGGGCCACGCACGGCCTCGTCGGGCCACACGCGTGCTGGCGGGCGCGGCAACAGGTTCCGCAGCAGCAGCAGCAGCAGCAATGCCCTTGAGCAACCCTTCCTTCCTTGGGAGGCGGCGCCTTTAAGAACCGCGGGCGGGGCAGCGGCTCCATGCGGTTTGACATGACGCTGGCCACGCCCCTTCGCCGGGTCTCTCCCTTTTGCTTCAGAGCAGGCGAGGCGCTCATTGGCTGCGGCTGGCGCAAGGGGCGGAGCCGCGTTCGGAGGAAGAAAAAAAACACACAACACTCTCTCCCCCCTCCCCTCCTCCCTCCCTCCCGCGACGTTCCAATGGTCGGAAAGGGCTCTGTGGCGTTCCAATGGGGAAGCGGAGTGTCCCGCTTTGAGCCCGGATGCCGACGGGCGGAGATGGCTGCGGCGCTGTGAAGGGAAGCCGCTTCTGCACTGCTGCTGCTGCTTCCTCCTCCTCCTCCTCCGCCCTTTGCATCTCCAAGGGAAGGGAAGGAAGGGGACTCCTGCACCAGCAAGCCACCGCAATGGGGAGCCGCGCCCCCGGAATCCGAAGCGTCTCTCGGGAGTGAGCTCTGGCCATGAGAGCGCCTTTGCCCTCGCCCGCAAGCCCGGTGCGAATCCTGCGCCTCTTTGGTTCCCCAACCTTAAAGGAACAGGCTCCTTGAATCAAGGACATTTCTTCTCAGCCTTTGCCAATCCTGAGCATCTTTTGCATTGGGCTGTTTGTTGACTCTCCAGATCGTAACATTGTTCTCAGCTCCGCTTTGGAGGGTCCCGGGGAAGCAGCCATGGGGCTGCCCGCCTTGGAGTTCAGCGACTGCTGCCTGGACAGCCCCCTTTTCCGCGAGAGGCTCAAGTCCCACGAAGCCGAGCTGGACAAGACCAACAAGTTCATCAAGGAGCTCATCAAGGACGGGAAGACCCTCATCGCGGCCCTCAAGAGTGAGTGGAGGAGGAGGGGAGGGGGGCTAGGGCTAGGGTTAGGGGGCGTCCCAATCCGGTAGGGGAAACCTCCAGCCAGGTCTCTGTCCTGACCCAAAAGGCCTGTTGCCAACAGGGTTTCCCATTGCAATGTCCATTGACAGAGAGGACTCTTGGATGTGGGAATTCCCTTCCATACAATACATTGTGGTCTCGCCAAATGTTATACTACAGGCTGAGTATCCTTTATTAGATATATATATACATACATACATATATACATATACATATACACACACACACATAATAATAAATATAATAATAAATATAATATTATTATATTAATAAAATAATAATAATTATATTAATAAAGTAATAATTATATTAATAATATGTTCATAGAGATATAAATATAGAATCATAGAGTTGAAAGAGATCTCATGGGCCATCCAGTCCAACCCCCTGCCAAGAAGCAGGAAAATCATTCAAAGCACCCCTGACAGATGGCCATCCAGCCTCTGTTTAAAAGCTTCCAAAGAAGGAGCCTCCACCACACTCCGGGGCAGAGAGTTCCACTGCTGAAAAGCTCTCACAGTCAGGAAGTTCTTCCTCATGTTCAGGTGGAATCTCCTTTCTTGTAGTTTGAAGCCATTGATCCACGTCCTAGTCTCCAAGGCTGCAGAAAACAAGCTTGCTCCCTCATTCCTATGACTTCCTCTCGCATATTTATTTATGGTGATCATGTCTCCTCTCAGTCTTCTCTTTGGAAGGCTAAACATGCCCAGCTCCTTAAGCCGCTCCTCGTAGGGCTTGTTCTCCAGACCCTTTATCATTTTAATCGTCTTCCTCTGGACACATTCCAGCTTGTCAATATCTCTCTTCAATTGTGGTGCCCAGAATTGGACACAATATTCCAGGTGTGGTCTAACCAAGGCAGAATAGAGGGGTAGCATATTATATAATAATATAATATAATAATTATTACATTAATAATGTAATTATTAAATAATAAGAGATATACATAGAGGTATAAATATAATATAATAATATAATTGGGAGCCCCCAGTGGCGCAGTGGGTTAAACTGCTGAGTTGCTGAGCTTGTTGACCGAAAGGTCACAGGTTCGAATCCGGGGAGCAGTGTGAACTTCCACTGTCAGCCCCAGCTTCTGCCAACCTAGCAGTTTGAAAACATGCAAATGTGAGTAGATCAATAGGTACTGCTTCAGCGGGAGATAACAGCACTCCATGCAGTCATGCTGGCCACATGACCTTGGAGGTGTCTATGGACAACACCGCTCTTTGGCTAAGAAAGGGAGATGAGCACCACCCTCCAGAGTCAGACACAACTGGACTTAATGTCAGGGGAAAACCTTTACCTAATAATATAATTATAATATAAATAATATAATTTGTATTATATTATTAATAATAAGATATACATAGAGAGATCTTGGATATTGGAATCTCCTTTTATACCAGGCATGGGCAAACTTGGGCCCTCCAGGTATGTTGGACTTCAACTCCTACCATTCCTGACAGCTTCAGGCCCTTAAGTGGCTGAGGGGGAAAAGGAAGGGGCCTGTAGCTATTAGGAATGGTGGGAGTTGGAGTCCAAAACACCTGGAGGGCCCAAGTTATCCCAGGCCTGTTTTATACAATACAAGACATAGGCACACTTTGACCCTCCAGGTGTTTCGGACTTCAACTCTCACCATTTCTAACAGCCTACCTGCCTATGCTTATACAAAACATTATGGTCCCTCCAAAGGTTTAGTATTCTTGACTCAAAATGCTTTGTTTTTCACTTTACATTTTTCCCTTCCAGATTTAGGAATATCTGTATGTGCATATTATATACATGTAATGAGGTATCTTGCAGGTGGGACCCAAGTCTCAACATGTTGCTCATTTATATTCCATGTACACCTTATACTCATAGGATAAAGGTCATTTTATACACAGTACTGTAAATAATTTTGTGCCTGAAACAAAGTGGGTTTATACTGGACCATCAGAAAGCCAAGGTGTGCCAATTTCAGCCACCCATCTGGGCAGTTTTGAGTTTGGGGATTCCAGAATAAGGGATGCTCAACCTGTCCCAAGAGGACTCTTGGAAGCTCATCTCTGAAGGTTGCTGTGAGTTTTCCGGGCTGTAGGGCCATGTTCCAGAAGCATTCTCCCCTGACGTTTTGCCCACATCTATGGCAGGCATCCTCAGAAGTTGAGGGGTCTGTTGGAAGCCAGCCAAGTAAGGTTTATATATCTGTGAAATGTCCAGGGTGGGAGAAAGAACTCTTGTCTGCTAGAGGCAAGTGTGAATGTTGCAAGTGGCCACAATGATTTGCACCAAATGGCCTTGCAGCTTCAAAGCCTGACTGGTTGCTGTCTGGGGAAATCCTTTGTTGGGAGGTGTTCGCTAGCCCTGATTGTTTCTTTTCTGGAATTCCCCTGCTTTTTGCGTGTTGTTCTTTCTTTACTGTCCTGATTTTAGAGTTTTTTTTAATATTGGTAGCCAGATTTTGTTCATTTTCATGGTCTCTTCCTTTCTGTTGAAATTGTCCACATGTTTGTGGATTTCAATGGCTTCTCTGTGTAGTCTGACATGGTGGTTGTTGGTGTGGTCCAGCATATCTGTGTTCGCAAATAATATGCTGTGTCCAGGCTGGTTCATCAGGTGCTCTTCTGTGGCTGACTTCTCTGACTGAGTTAGTCTGTAGTTCCTTTCATGTTCCTTAATTCGTGTCTGGGCACTGCTGCATTTGTTGGTCCCTATGTAGACTTGTCCACAGCTGCATGGTATACGGTAGACTCCTTCAGACCCCTCTACCTCTGAAGGGCTCGGAAAGAGATGGGTCAAACCCACAGCAGGAGGAGAAAATGGGGCAGGTTAATGCCAGTCGATGAACTCAGCAAGGGAGTTTTGTCTTTTGGCAATGGTGATGCCCAGGTGTTGGGAGTTGATAATGCCACCTAGAATGTCATGCCATTCTTAAATAAACACTCTCTCTCACACACAAAAGCAGGCTGGCTGTGTACAATCAGGTTTTGCACTTTGGGTGTGTCATTTCAAAACACCTTGGCTATTTTGTTGGCTATCTGTCTCTTCAATATTCGTGGCCCAGGAGTCTTTTGTGAAAGTGAAAGACCTCTTTGAAAACAGCCAAAGGTTGAAACCGGAGATGTGCTGCTTGTTGCTTTCAGACTGTAGTTGGACTTCAACACTGCGGCCCTTGCTGTTGCCTGTGTTGGCTGGGGCTGATGGGAATTATAGTTCCAACAACATCTGGAGGCCATCGGGTTGTACACCTGTGGCTTATAGGTGGGATTATTCAGTTCAAGGAATTCTGTTTATCACTGTCTAATGCTTGAGCACGGTGCCTCCCTACTTTGTAATTTTCCCCTTGCAGGATGTTGTGGAGGATTGGAGGAAAGAGTATCGGGAAAACACAATTTCATTCATTGCTTGGAAATTCCCTTGAAATCCTTCACTTAAGAACATTTGTTTTCTTATGCCTGATTTCATCTTAGTGACCAAGAATAGGAACTTGCGCAATAGGTAATCTTGCGAGTTAGGTTTAGATAGACTAATGCTTGGGAAATCTGAGAAACTGTATTATCTAGTTCCATTTGTAAAAATGTATGTTATGTATTTGCTATAAGTGTGAATTTATTTATTTATTTACCCTATTTATACCTCACCTTTCTCAACCCTGTAGGGGACTCAAGGCAGCTTACATATACAGGCAATGATTTGATGCCATGTAAACATACATACATAATAAAATAAACATATATATTAAAACAATCATTAAAACATATCAATTCTTAAGACACTTATTAAACAGTATACTGTTACATAGTGTAACTTTAATGCCAATGTTTGACGTAACATGGTACTCTGTCATGGTCACCAAACAGAGAGTCGTAGCTGAACTCTTAATGACTGCTGCCCTTTCTCTTTGACAGTCTGAAAGAGTTTGAATTCCTGATCGTGAGATGCAAGATACATGCATGTCTGCTAAAAAGCAGCTCATTGTAAAGCTGACCAATACCATGTGTGTGACAGATAGCCAGCGGTTTTGTTTGCTTCCCTCTGTTTGCGAGCCAAAGGCAAATAATTGTCACTCTCGTGATGTGCTCTTTGAAAGAGTTAATTGTATTAAACAAGCCTTGAGGGTCTTGTCTGCCTCATCAGTGGTGTTTGTGCTCATTTGTCACTGGTGATAATACACAGCAGTCTTGGGAAAGGCGGTGAGTAAAACAAGGAAGGCATGTCTACCTATCATACTTGCCTAGAGGACCAAGTGATAAAACAGTTACCTTGCAGACAAAGTATTTATCATGTCAGAAGTGAATTGAGGATACAATTATAATGTTTAAAAACCTATAAAAAGATTAAAAGCTTAGCATTATACTAAATTTCCTTTGACCAGAAACTGGCCACTTGGAGTGCCTCTGGTGTCACTGTAAGAAGGTCCCCCATTGTGCATGGGGCAAGGCTCAGAGTGCATTGCAGTAGGTGGTCAGTGGTTTGCGCTTCTTCACACTTGCATGTTGGGAACTCCACTTGGTAGCCTCATTTCTTAAGATTGGCTCTGCATCTCATGGTGCCATAGAGCAGTCTGTTCAGCGCCTCCCAAGTTGCCCAGTCTTTTGTGTGCCCATGAGGGTGTTTCTCATTTGATCTCAGCCACTGATTGAGGTTTTGGGTTTCAGCCTTCCATTTTTGGACTTTCGCTTGCTGAGGTGTTCCTGTGAGTATTTCTGTAGAGCTTAGGAAACTATGTCTTGATTTAAGATGTTGGCATGCTGGCTGATAACTGAACAGAGGATGGGCCGAAGATGTCAATGCCTTGGTCCTTTCATTACTGGCTGCTACTTCCTGATGGATGTCAGGTGGTGCGATGCCGGCTAAACAATATAATTTCTCCAGTGGTGTGAAGTGTAGACATCCTGTGATAATGTGGCATGCCTCATTCAGAGCTACATCCACTATTTTAATGTGGTGAGATATGTTCC